AAGGACATGTGTACTAGATTCTGTGCCTCAGGCTAATGGAAGTAATATAATAGTGCCATGAGCAGCATGTCTGCTTACGATGAGGATTGTCAACTGATCACAGCCACCATGTGAGTGCTCACCCAAACTGCTGCATGGAATGTGGTGGGGTGACACATCACAGGAACGGCAGTGCCAAATGAGACATGTGGATTTTCCTGGGAAAGTGACTAAGGAAATGTGGGTGACTACAGCAACTTTAGTAGAAAAGGTGAGGAATGTGTTCCCATTGTTTTAGACATGGGACAGAGCTCCAGAAAGTGAAGGGGAGGCTGTTCTGGAGTGTGCAGAGAAGGGGCAGAGCTCACTGTGACAGACCAGCGAACATGAGGTGTCGATGCTCAGAACCCTTTGCAGGCAGAGCGAGAGCACATGACATTGTCTAATAGCCAGACAGTAATACCATTAATCATAAAAGCACCATTTATCACGGGACTGTGTCAGCTCTGGAGACATAAGGGACCTCAGGGGAGCTATTTAAACCCTCTTCACTTTCTATCCTGATTTATAAATGAGGGAATATCAGTTCCTACTTACAGGATGATTGTAGTGTTTATCCAAAACAATTCACATGGTCACACTGACACATAGGAAGTGCTCACTCAATGTTAGTCATTTCTTATTATAAGAATAATGGTGACTTCCATCTCATTAAAAAGAAAATAAAAAGGAACATTTAAGCTTTCAAAAACACAGCAGTTTCGAGATCTCACAGCATCATATGGTTTATAGTAAGTCACACAGATCAAGTGGTAGAGCTGATCTTTGACTCAGATCTGTCTGATGATACCAGCAAGGATGTTTTTGATGATGCTACACAATGGTTCCAAAGAGAAGGAAGGGGCCATTTCCCCACCTGTCCTCTTTCATTCAGAAGGCTTTGTGCTGGGAGAGCTGGTTCTATTGTTAGATCAGACTGTGGGTGGGGGGGCTCTCCTGGGCAATAGCTGTGGTGGTGGTGATCTTGACTGTTCATTCCATCCCTCATTAGATGGTAACATATCCCACACTGTGGGAGGTATAGCAAGCTTCATCCTTGAGGTGCATTAGAATAAGGAATTATTAGAATAAGGGATCTTGTCAGAAGATCATGATGGTGCTTGCTGGGTAATAACCATTTACCATGGCACAACATGAACATGAAGCTTGTAATGCACTTTTCTTAGAATGTACTCAGTGTCTTGTGAGACAGGGGGAGTCATTAGGGTGCTGACTTTACAAATAGGAAAATGCCTTAAATATATGAAATTCTTACTTGAGATTCCGTACCTAGAAAGTGAGAGAGGTAGAATTTGAACCCAGCTCCTATCAGCTACACTGGTTTTCCCAACCTGTAATGTTTGTCTCCATCTATGATGCCCCTTCCATCTCATGCTTAGGCCCTCTGATTTTTTTCTTTCCCCTGTGGTTCAGTTGTGAGTAACCTCCCCAGAGATTGTACTTAAGGCTGCCAGTGGTATGCTAGATTTGGCTTATACTGGCCTATGAGAGCAAGCTGCTATGCTTTCAGGAATTTCTGATTCACATATCACACTGATTAACTGAAATGGCCAAAGGCATTCTTCTTTTTAGAAATAGGCTCCCATATATTGAAGACTGGCCTTAAATTTAACTATATAGCTGAAAATGACTCTGAACCTCTGATTTTCTTTTTCTACCTCCCAAGAGTGGGGTTGTAATTGTGCATCCCCATGCTTACTTTATGTAGGGCTATGGATCGAGTCCAGCTTCATGCATGCTAAGAAAATACTCCTCTAGCTGTGCTCCATCCAAGCTGTATGAAGGAGTTATTTATAACAGAGAAATCAACAAACACAACTAATCAAGGCTCCATGACTCCCCTCTACTAATCTATTTTTTTTTTAACCAGCATGCTACTGCTGGTTATCATTCTCTGCTAAAGAACTGCAGACACCAGAGACTATTTTATAAAATGTCTGGAAGGCACAGGGAGTATTGGAAGCTATGTGTGCACATGTCATCACCTGCAAACACTCTATCTTCCTGGTCCATTGTTTCAGTAGGCAGAAAAAGGTTCTGGGAGGTGAGAACCACTTTTACAACACAGTTCAGGATGACAGGCACATGATCCCCAACTAATTCATATTTAAATATAAGTTCATTCCATTCAGAGTTCAAGACAGCGCGCATGGGAATTTACAGTTGGACTCAACACATCCATTCTTGAGTATTTTTCACATGATATTCCAGTTTGATAGAGAGTTGACCTTTAAGGAACACAATTTTACAGATGCAGAAAAGGGAAGAAGAAGCTGTGACTTTAAGAGGGGTGACCCTGGCTTGTGTAACTCACCATGGGTGTGTATCTACTGCCAAAGGCCCTTCTCTTATCCGGCTTTGATCCCTCCCTCTGACACTTCCCATCACTTGAAGATGAATGAATACCAGCCTGCCAGTTCCCTCAAAGATGTGAACATGACACAAATAATGGGTAATGTTTACTAGCTGCTGATGGGATAACGGTATGCTATGTCTTAAACTGAACTGCCTAAACTTGCCAGCATCTGACTTTCTCTAATTGCCCAATGGTAATTTTAGTAGCTCAGTTCACATATATTATCTGTGTCTGGGCCATGTTCCCATAAAATGGGTGCTATCAACATACCCACTTCACAGATGGAGAGGACTGAACACAAGAGTTCTTTACACAAGTGCAAATTACATATTTACAAGCAATGCACTGTTTTGTGTTCATTGATAGCCATGGGCAATGTACTATAGGTGGGATATATGCAATAGTAACTCAGTGACCATGAATAACTAATTTATACATTTCTATAATCTTTAAATAAAAGTTTAAAGATGTTAAATATAAACAATTAGTATTAGAAGACAAGAACTTTGATGTTTGTTTTACACACACACACACACACACACGTCCACACAACATTAGAGACTACAGCCAAATACTACAGAATGAATTATTTTTTATGAAATTTTTCTTTTCTTTTTTCTTAGCTATTTTTGTTTTGTTTTGTTTTATTTATTTTGAGCTCAAGTCTTGCTATGCAGACAAGACTGGTCTGGAATTTACCATGTAGACAAGGCTGGCCTTGAATTTATATTGATCCTTTTGCCTCAGTCTCCTTAGTACTGGGATTAAAAGCACACACCACCATTTGCAACTTGTATTTGAATTCTTCTATGCCTTTTAAGAAGTAAAGCAGGTATGATGGCATCTACCTATAATCAAAACACTCTAGAGGCTAAGGCAAGAAGATTTAAAGTTCAAGCTTGGATTATATGGTGACATTATCACACACACACACACACACACATGCACAGGCACAGGCACACCCCACTACCGCCAACAACAACAATAAAGAGAAAGGAGGGTGCATTGAAGAGTTTGGAAGAAGAAAGGAGAGGAAGAAGTGATGTAATTATAATCTCAAAAAATATTTTTTAAAAATATCGGTGAAAGCATAAAATCCATTTTGTGAAAAGTTATCTAAAGGTACAAGGCTATGCTTTCATTATGAAACATGAACTGCATGTTTCATTCACAAAAACACAAACTTGGTGCCATGTGATTTATAAGTTCTGTGGTGAATCCTCCAGGCTTAAAGCTTGGCACCTGGCCATAGCCCGATGGGGCCAGCATGTATGTAGTTCCATATCCTTCTAACCTATTGGAAATTATCGGTGAGGCCCTGCTGAAGACAAGTGATTGTTTTCATTGCAAAAGTAAAGTGAGGAGCAGCATTATTTTGCCCCAAACTAAAAAGGCTAGGCATCCTTCCAAGTGGTCTACTCCGAGTTCATGAAAATCTTTAAAGATCAGGTCTCACCCCTGCCCCAACACACACACACACACACACACACACACACACACACACACACACACACACCTGTATCTTCTAGTGAGATACCAGCAAGGAACACATCTTTGACTCACTGACCACATAGCTACAACCTCAGTACTCATCACTGCCCTACCTCTCTAATGATGTAAAAATAGCACAACAATATGATAAGAAATCAAACACACTTTGAGAAGTGGTTGAGGAAGACTGACCAAGAGGCACTGCATATAACCAAAAGCTTCTGAAAGAAAGACTGCAACTTAGGTTGATGTCTAGTCTTTCATCGACAATGAAAGGAGTCTGATGGAGAGGGTCATCTGCCCAGGTCCATTCACTCAATGGGAAGCACAGACTTCCTGACCCCCACCCAGTGCTTTTATTACACTATATTATTACCATGGACTTATCTGCTTTTGTTGTCACTGCTGTTGTACAAGAGGCAGTTGTCTTTAGATACATCTAGCTAAGCAGCCACTGTAGGGAGGAGCCCTTGTCTGCAGGCAGATACTTTGTGTTCCATTATCCTATACCCCTAGTCTCTTGAGACTTAGTGCCATGGATAAGAAGGGTCACCACATGCCAACTTTCAGAATATTATAGGAATATCCTGCATATATACATACACATGAAATACAAAATATTTGATATTACATGGCCTCAAGAGACAGATGGCCATTGAGACAAAGAGAGTTCAAGTCATTAAAAAAAAATTGACATAGGACCTCCCCTTCACTATTCTAAGGATTGCTTCTTTTGTAAAACTGAGACACTGGGCTAGGTTACCCCTATGTCCTAATGAGCAATAATTAATATCCTACTGCCCTACAGCCTGTAAAATACCATATACTTCATATGAACTTCAAGTTCTATCCACAAAACTCACCACATAAAATATTTCTATGCTTATAAATTAAACATAAGTTTGCGGAGAAGAAAAATGGATGTTAAACCTATGACTTTTAGAACCAAAATAGCCAATTCCAACACCAGACTCTCTGATCTCTTCTATTTTGCTTCGATCTCTGAGTACTTTGTTGTTAAACACAACATGCTTATATTCCAGTTGTTCAAGTTTATCACACAAATCAACTCAATCCAAACACAAAACAAAGCTAAGAGCAAGTGTTTTCATACCCCATGGCGATCCTCGAAGTATGTCAGACTGGCTTTTGTTAAAACAAAGAAACGGACTTTAAAATTCGAGGGAGAAGTCCTTCTTTTCTGCTGGGATTTCTTGATCAGTTGTTCTTCCAGGAGGATGAAGTTGTTCATGGTCCAGCTCTGAAAAGTGATGCGTCTTGGGCATCACACCTCAGTGCAACAGATGGAGAGAAACAGCTGGGAATGCAACAGGATACAGTTGATCTTGAGCGAGTCATTCAAAGGCAACTTGTCTAACCTTATCTTTTCTATCAACATCAGCCAGCCTTACCGCTGAGCTCCTCCTCTGATGTCAAAGGCCACGACCACATCCTTTCAAAATTCACCAAGCTAAGAAGCACATGCAAAAATATGCGTCCCATTTGCTATATGGTTTGGAAATGAGGTTTGAAGAAATTTAGAATTATAAAAGGAATTCAATTTAATTTTTATAGTTCCTGGTTTAGCCTCTGCAACAGTTAAGACATGTAGAAAAGGGGAAAAAAAGAGGGGTCCATAGGTCAGTGGAGCATAGCTTGTGTATAAGTTTCCCATTGCTGTCATGAATTGCCACTGGCTTAGTTTCTCTAAGTGTCTTGGATTACCGGACAATTCTCTAATTTAGAAGTGTAAAATGGGCCTCACTAAGTGACAACCATGGTGATAGTGGGACTGTGCTCCTTTCTGGCAGGTCTCTGGGGACACTGAGGAACACCCTTTGTCTCGGCTCTCTCCATCTTCAAACTCAACAACTACAGGCTGAGTCCTGTTTCCTCCATATTGCCAGAAGCCCCTCCTCCTACTTCTGCCACATTCGAGGACCCTGAGGAACACTCTTGAGAGCCACCCATCTCACATGATCATCTAGGAGATGCATCCTATTTTAAAGTCAGAAAATGGGCACTGTAACTCCACTTCGTATGGTAATTCCCCTTTGTCACCCAACTTCATACAGTCACAGATTGTAGGGATTAGGACACAGAAAGATTTGCACAGGGCTGTCATTATACTTCCAAGTTTGAATTCCATCCATACCACTTAACACCTAACAATGGCTTGGAATTTCAGTTCCTTTGTTAAAGGAAGCAATGTGGGCCTTGTATGAGGCACTGAAGGGCTCTTTTTGGCTCCTCTGTCAGCCTCAAAGTATGCCTGGTTTCACCGGTGTCACATTAGCCTTCTGTGTATGCCACTGCACAAATGCTATAAGCTGTATCTTAATGTATCCTTTTTGTCTCTTTCTTCTGGTTCACTCTGAAGTGATATTGCCAGCCTTAGCCAACATGCACTTCCTCCGGGGAGGTTTGCACACTTTCCTACACGGAATCTTCTAATCTATTTTTTCCCTGTATATAAGGACCCTTACAAGGAGGCAGCATGCACAGACAAACAAGAAGCTATCTCCTCGTGACTGTATTTGGGAACTAAACTGCATCTGTTCTGTGAATAATGCGTCAGGACAACATTAAGATATATACTCATGTGAGGTTCACTGTGACCAGGAAGTCAATAACTAAGAAGTCCCAATGCAAGTAGGGACATCACAGATCAGAGAGGGACATATGATGAAACAAAGTGGGGGACCACAATTCTGTTGTTTATTTTTAGATGTGAATTGCTAATTATAGCCTCTTCACATCATGTATTGGAAGCTGTTGAATAATGAAGACAAAGGAAAGGGAAGGGAATGGTGAAAAGAAGAAGGGAAGGAATGGAAGGGAAGATATTCTGAGATTTTTTTTTTTAAGATGTGGAAATAAAATGTACAAAAGAGGTAGCCTTTTCAAAATATAGTTTGCAGCAAAGATTACTATTTTCCTTCTCTTTCCTTTTTCAGGGGTAACTGATTTGCTGAAAATTATCTGAACATCTGGTCAGCCTGAGTAAGGAACACATTATTTTTAGCTTTTCCAGTTACTTGGAAGAACCATGTAACTCTTTTCTGAACAAAAGTATATGGCAGAAATGGAAGCGTCCTGGCAGGATGTGATGGAACACACCTGTAATCTCAGCTCCTTGGGAGGCTGTCTCAAGAAAAGAAGGGGGTTACTTAATTGGAGCCTCCCTATCTCTTCCATTTCTCTTCCTAATGATCATGGTATTGACTTGATGGCTGGAGCTGGAAGAACTATATTACACTTTATGCCCTGGAGGTTACATGTTGAGAGTGACTGATCACATGATAGAGGAGTCTGGGGTTATAATGACCATGGACTGGATCATTCACACAGCTGTGGAATACCTGTTCTACACTCCATCTTAGACAAAGGGATGAGAAGTAGTGGATTAACTTATTGTTAATATAAAAAGAAATATGCCATTAATATTTCCTAGGACCCTGTTATTTTAGTTTCTGTTACTGGTAGCATACCCAACTCTAACATAATGTACTATCATGTAGTATCAATGTAGTATCATGTACTACCTTCTCAGTTATGCTGTAAATTACTCCAGAAAGGATAGATTTATGCCAGGTTGATTCAGGCACGATGATTTAGTGACTTTACATAGCACTTTCACCTGAGAAAGCAGAATATGAGGAGCTATTGACTTCCATTTGCCAAGTCTCTACGTAGTGCAATAAAAAATAATCTTACTTTCTACAACACAGAACACTCCAAAAACACTTACTGGGATGAGTCTATGTTCACTCTTAAATATAATATTAGAGCCTCCAGTATTTTCCCCATAATGTTAAGATAAACAGTCTCTTTATTTATATTTTGGTTTACAGGAGACACATTCCATACTGGTGCCTGTAACTAGGCTACAAGGTGTTAACCTGTTTCAAAAACAAAGCAAACAAAAAATGCAAAGAAGGCTGGGGAGATGGCTCAGTGGTGGAGAGTACTTACTTATGATATATGGGCTGGTGTTCAGATACTAGCATCCACATAACAAGCCAGGCATGGTCTACTGCACGCCTGTAACCTCAGCACTTTGAAGGGTGGAGTCAGGCAGATTCCCAAGGCTTGTTGGCTGCCAACATAGCTAAAAAACATGAGTTCCAGCTTGAGGGAGAGATCTTGCTGCAAATGAAGAACACACAGAGTGATATATGAGGACACCTGAAGCCTTCATCTGGCCTATGCATGTGCACATACACCACACACACACACACACACACACACACACACACACACACACACACACACACACGCACATCCTACACGCCCAACAAAAACCCTAACAATACAAAAGAGCTCCTACTAGCCAAAGATAGAACAATTTTGGGCACCAAAATTTGTAACTGTGATGAGTTAAGTAAAGGTATTAGAACATCAAGTTCAAAAGAAAACTAAAAAAGTCCACCCCAATGACTACTTTCAGAGACTGGTAAATAACCAACTTATTTTTCTGGAAACTGAAAACAAAGCAAACCAGAACATCCTGCTTTTCATGAAGGATTGCATTTTGGTATAGTCAATGAAAACTTAAGAATGCAAAGTAAGCCAAGAAGGAATAACAGAGCATCGTTATTTTACAACCTGAATACAATAATGAATGTAGATGATGACCCTAGATAGCTGTTAAAGTCTCCATGCCAAAAGTCAGTAGGGAAATGTACAACAGTAAGAAGCTGACAGTGACAGACTGACTTTTCTTCACATGACAGAGAGACAAGCAAATACTATGTGGCTTCTGTGTAATGTGATAGGAAGCAAACAAACCACCCACATAGACGTCTTGTGTAGAGAGAAGAGTCACATACGACTCTGGTCAGAGCTCTAGATCTAAAATCTGAGCTGCCAGGAAGCTCAAGACATGAAAGAACATGGCAAAGAACAGTTAGAGATATAACTGGGAAAGTCCAGAATATACCAAATGCTAAGGACAAATAACCCAAGATCCCCAACAAATGAAGTGGTTGGGCACCTATACATCAGGAAAAAGACCTTAGGAGATGTTTCCAATATGAGAGGACTTTGGATTCAGAGCCAAACAAATCAACTGTATAAAGGAGTTATGAGCCATCGTTGGACATTTAAACACTGAAGAAACTGAGGAACTGCTATGAAATTTTAAGGCAAGCTAATGACATCACTGCTGTAGTCAAAGAGTTCTTTTCACAGGTGTGCAAAAAATGATTGACAAAATGATCACCTATTTGAGATCTGCTTTATTATAATGCAATGGAGGCCAGGGAGGACAAATAGGGCAAAAATGATGTTCCTGAACTGACAATTGCTGAGGCTGGGTGATGGGGTACTGGGTTTATTATTGTCTTCCTTACACTAGGATCTGTTTGAAGCGTCTATAACAAACACTTCAAAGAGCAGTTTATGTAGATGATCAAAACTCTAAGCACAGGGCTGGAGAAACAGCTCAGCAGTTAAAGGCATGCACTTTTCTCGAAGTAGACCAAGTCTGGTTTCCAAGATCTAGGACAGGTGGCTCACAACTCTAATTCCAAGGCACCAGGCAATCTTTTCTGGCCTCCATGGGTATCTGCACATACACTCACATATACATACAAAGACACAGGCGCACACGCACGCGCTCACACACAGACACAGACACACACACAGACACACACAGACATACACACACACACATACACATACACACACACACACACAGAGAGAAGGGGGGCAGGCATGCACACATGCACTAAAATAAGTGGCAACAGAAATCTTAGCACATATTCCAGGTACTGCTTTTCCTCAGCATCAGCTGGGCTTGCTTTGGCAAACACACAGACTTTCCCACTGTGTTCTACCTCAGTCTCCTCCCTCAGGTACCAGCTGGGTTTCTGCTTTACCCCTTCAGGTTGAAGGGAAGAAGAAAGAGAAGCAAAGGCACAGAATGCAACATGATGACATTGGTAATTCTGGGCTGGCACCCTTGTGATGTGATATAGACACACAATGTTTCTTTTCTTTGTGGAAAACACTAGTCCCAAATATTTTTTTTTCAAGATTTTCCAGCTGAGGCCCCTTTGGGAGTCTCCTGGTCCCACTCCCCGCTGTTCTCTTTTACATCTCTGCCAACAACTCCAACCAACACTCCTGCTTTGCAGCTGTAGATACAACACATGTCCCAAGGACACAATCTTCTCTCTAATGACAAACAGCTCTCCCATGAGTTATTGCTATTGTCCTACTCAGATTTAGATACATATATATATATATTTTTTTTTACATTTCCAAGGTTCAAGGAGTTGGCCTTTAAAGGCCCTGTTACTTAGCTTCTGGGGAATACAAGCACTGAGGGCTCTTCCTGCTGACTGGTATTAATGCATTTATAGTGCCTCAAGAACTCAATCCCATGATTCTTTCAGTCCTGGCTTCTGAAGGCTAGAAGTTGGTGGACACTTACCAGAGGAACTGGTTTTGCCTCTTCCTGTGTTTTAGTGGATGAGACACCCCAAGTTAGAATCTTAAAATATTTCACTCCTTTAATTATAATTTTATGAGCCTCTGCAGCCTCAGATGAATTGAGAAAGCCTTTCTTAATGTCTTTCAATAGAGACATTTCAACTTAATTCTGTGGGGCCCAGGTAGTCTATTAAAACATCTGCAACTTTATTTGCCATTCCTTGGTTCTGTGTTGGCCTCTGCTTACCAGATATGCTCTTTATAGCATGAAAATGGTTG